ATCGGGTATTGACGATCAAAACTTGATTTCCGGTAGTGTAATGTTAGCCAGAGATAGATAGATGTCCGCAATATGACAGAAAAGATAGATAAAAGAAAGTTATATGGCATTCATTATCTGTATGTATTTGTTCATGTTTTACAAAGTGTTCAACCTGAGCCTTCTTCATACAACAACGATAGCAATCACAGAGGGTTAGTACTATACAGCTGTTACGATATTGGAATCCGTATAGAGAAGGAAATAATGGTATCAGAACTTCTATCCAAAGATGTTTGTTTAAAAAATGAATGTCATTTTATTGGTCTAGGCCTAAAAAATCCAGGTTTTTCTGAACAGAATTACAGTTCATCCAGAACCTCCTCTGTAGTCTGCACCACATGCCTTAGTGCTCTGAGAACAATGTTGCTGTAATATTGCTGGTATTATACCTGGTAATGTCACTTTTTTGGCAGCTCTGTTATCCAACTTTTGTGTCAATTAAAAGCTTGTGAAATGTTGTGGAAAAGGCGACGATTGCTTTCGACATTCATCACAAAAATTGAGTGAACTACAAATCAAAGAGAGCTGCAACCAGGTAGATCCGAAATTTGCCTACAGGCCTGCAATGCAAACATAATATTTAGTCTGGCCCGTTTTTAATTAGAGCTGTATCATGTTCCAATATTATGGCATCTGCAGAGGCAATCAAAAGGAAATAAGCCATATTAGATATATTAACACTAACAAGACATAGCATACACGGGGGGTGGATTGCCTGTACCATGTGCACAACAACTAAGAGTGAACTAAAATAAAACAAAAGATGTGTAAGGGCTGAAATATGACAAAGAAAAGTGAGCACACCAAAACACCAAAAAAAGATCCCATCAAGCAAATGTCTTGTTATCCTTGTTATCCCGCTTGTTAGCACCTCTGGCAATCAACAGGATCTAGACTGAGTCAGCTGTTCATTAGCTGCATCGTGTGAATCAAAGAGTCCTTTCTCTGTGCACGCAAAGGAAAAACACTAGAAGAGAGTGTATTATAAGTTCTTCTGGGAAACCGGTTTGTGACTGACAGCAACTGGCAACTGAAACACTGTATTGGTTCTCGGGGCTTGAAGCTTCATACATGTCAGTACATGTAGTTAGACTGTTCTCAGCTCCATTTTCTCTGTTAAATGCATCTGGAATGAAAGAAGTGCCATTTCACTTTCTAGTGAAAGTCAGTTAATGACAGACCTTGCTCTCCTAAAGAAAAAAAAAATGACCTAAAACCTTAAACCTTAACCGCTACAGTGAGGGGAGATTAGCTCTGAGTTTGACCTCATTGAAGTGTGGGTGTAAAAATTATAATGAGAATCTAGCAGATATGTGGTAGCATTAGCATGTTAATATGACAGCATGGCAGCAGAGTGTGTAGGATCTTGGTTGACACTGAGGCCGTTTTAGGGCTGCAGTGTGATGGCAAGCCGCAGCCCAGTTCCCTGAATTTAATTTGCACACAGTCTCCCGGCCACCTGTCAGAGAACAAGTGAGAAGTAGAGGGGAGGATGGGGTAAAAGGAGAGGCATGTGACAGCACGGTGCTACTCTCACAATGGGTGGAGAGAAAACGGCCGGAGACAGACAGACAAACAGACAGACCGAAGAATGCCATGGTTGAGGAAAATTCCCTCCAGTAATCGAACGAAGAGACAGAGCGAGCGTGGGACAAAAGCAACTCTTTGCCCGCAGGAGGGTGACAATTATTCATTCAGTGAGCAGCTATTGAAACAGAGGGAACAGGAGAAGGGAGAAGGGAGGGAAAGAGAGGGATGGCCTGGAGAGAAACAGACAGAATGGAGCAGAAAGAAAAAGTGGAGAGATCAGGTCAAACTGGAATGAGTTCAACGAGACTCAGCATTTTGAGTCAAAGTGAGAAAAACAGTCCGACCTGACCCAGCCCTCTAACAGATGTCTTCTTCTCATTTCTAATGAACGACAGCTGAGGAGAGAGAGAAAAGGTCTTGGAGCTGTTTAATGTTTAGCTCCTGCAGTGGGCAAACAGAAAAATACAATCACACAAAAGCCAATTAGGAGCCAACAATAGGGTCTGTGCTTTGCTAAAACTCAAGCCACCCATACACACGCACACACACACACACGCAAACACACGTGCGGACACACAATTGATCTCTGTTAAAAGCCTCAGGCACAGGCTGATACCTCTATCACACTCCTCCTCCTCCTCCCTCTCGGCAGAAAAAAAGACTCCTAAAAAGAGCTAAATTACACATCAGACAACTGTTTCCTGATGCTAATGTGCCCCTCCAAACCCCTGGGAGGGAAAGACAGACAGGTACGCCCAACAAGATGTGAATGTCGTTACCCAAATCCATCACACGAAGAGAAGACATATTAAAAAAAGAGTCACCTTTGATGTTGAACACAATTTTCTTCCATGTTCCAACAAGGTTTCAAAAGCACTTACTTTGCCAGAAGCCATTAGTAATTATTAGTGGGCATACTGAGCCACGAGAGGCACGCTGTGTGCTAGCAGCTCGGACGAAAACACCACCACAGTGTGAGGATTTCAACAGAGATGGGAGAAAAAAAACTGAAAATAAAGAAAGCGACGAGAGGGACAGAGTGCACACTGGCTTTTATGTTTGAGACTTTCCATCTTTCATAAGGCTCGTCTACTTCATCCAGAAGAGATAACTTCAACTGCCAATTGTTGGCGAGACGTGTGAGGCAGCTCGGCATTATTCACAGTTGGTTTCAGCTCACTGGATTCAGCATTAGCAACCTTTGCCCATTAAATGGTTAACTTAATATTGTGTGATTTAAGGGGGGAAATCCATCAATCTTAAATATCAAAGTCTGTTCACAGGTATTGGTGAGCGCAACTGTATTTGTGAAAAGAAGTTCTATAAAGCCTTTTGCGGCTTCAGAGGGAACTAAATGATGTCTGATAAACTGCCTCAAGTGAAGTCGCTTGAAGCAACGTTTGTTGAAGACTACACGTTTGAAAATGAAAAAAGATCTGGGGGGTGTGGAGTTAGAAAGAAGTGAGGTTACCAAACCTCTAGAGCCCGCTCCTCATCTCTGCGTGAGGCGAACAGCCTGAGGCTACATTAGCTGCTCACACACCTTCACACACCTGAATCTCAGAGCGAACTGCTCACAGTCAAGTTGACTTGTGGGTAATGTAGGCGCCAGGTTACAGAAGAATGTGGAATAAAATATCTGCGGTTCTGCTGCTTAAATTCTGATTCTGTTTGGAGTGCAATGCTAAATCAATGGGGAGTGCTCTTTTAGTGAGAGCATCTTTTTATTTCTGAGTCATAAAACATGTATTACAGCAGAGAAATTATACATTAAGGAGATATTACTTGCCAGTTTCTACATTTTGTCTATAGTTAATGAATTATAATCATATATAAGCATCCAAAATAGGCCACCTTTAATTTTGCAAAATACGCAGATGCATTTCTGTGAGATAAAATGAGGCATCAAGCCAAGGCCTGAGATACCTTGATAAGACACTGTGACAAATTCTTTGAATAAACCTCAGCAGCCAAAATATGACCCCAGTTTGCTTACATCCAAGCAGCAACATTGTTATCTAACCAGGGCACCCTCGACGGGAAGAGCAAACAGATAAATGAGGAGACTCACAGGGACGATAGCAGAAGGGAGGCTGAGGATGAGATGGATGAGAGAAGGAAGGGGGGAGGGGGGGTGGATAAATGAAACATCTAGAGCTGCTTCAAAGGGAATGGAGAGATAGAAGATGAAGAGGGAGAGTGTGTTTTCCATGTTAGATGTGGAGAGAGAGAGAGACAGATTGCCAGAATGATCAATTAGGGGATCAAAGGTATGCTGGATGGAGGGACAGAGGGATGAAGGCGTGCCGGAGGGGTGGGGAGGGCTAATCTGAAAGAAGGTTGGACCTTGGAGATGGAGATTCATAGTGAGGAAATCAAATAGGGATTTGAGAACTCACTGACATCTGAAGCACAAGCACACCCCACATCACGCTTTGAAGTGTCAACACCCATTACTCGATGAATTTGTTTCTCTGACAGTCTCGTCGAGCTCGCTCTGCATGTGACCACACATACGGCAAATGCAATTGAAAAGTCCAGCTGTCTAGACTTGAGGGGAAATTGGTTCAGGAAAACAGGGTGGACATTGTAGTCCTGCCTTCAATTGGTTTCATTTCCCATTATAGGGGGACTGTAGAGAGGGGAGGCGAGTAACCATGTCGTGTCTTTGGACTTAAATGAATTCTTCCACTGGCCTCGAGGTTCCCGCTCAGTCTGTTGGGAGCCAATTACTAGCAAACACAGAATTTAGTGCTGTTGCTGCCTAATACATGATCGCCATGAGAGAAGTCAAGTAAAAAAAAAAAAAGACTGGACTGACAACATTGTTATTATCATTGTGCTCTTTCATGTGGTTAACTAGCCACATTAACCACACTGCCGTCAAGATCCGGCAACTGTGCAAAGCATTCAGTTTCAGTTATTGTGGCAGGAATGCTTTTGGGTTTTTGAATTCGCATCCACCTGCTAAAAGTCTTTTCAGAATGGTCAACAACCAGAAACAAAAAGACACAAAGCCCGACTGCCACCAGAACAATGACCCAGATAGAGGACAACAGACTGAGGTCAATGATCAACCAGACAAGACAAAGTAGTGCTTCCTTGAGTGCGTGTGTGCGTGTAGACTAGCACAGGCACGCATATGTCTGTTCTCAGCAATAATGCAAAACTGCAAATACTCACTTTATTTTTTCTTACTTCGACATAAGACTTTTGTTGCTGAGTCTCAAAGTCTCTAAAGACTGAAACAAAACAAATAATAAGCCGCCATTGCACAGACACAGTCAGACGAATTACTTTGCTCTGTGCACACTTTTCCACAAATCATATTATGCAATTAATGTTGTTTTCTCCTAAGCCTGCCAAGACAAAGACTATTCAATAAAAACAACTGTTCCCCATGTGTGTGCATGCACAATTATACTCACATAACTGGTATATCCAACTATTTAATATATTCTTCTGCTTCTCTTCTGCTGGACTGCACTGCTGATAAAAAGCAGCTACGCAGGGCCAATGGCTCTCGTGGGACGTTGTGGGAGAATTAGCAGCCAGATGCCCATTAGACAGGCATCCAACAGACCTGTGCTTTGCTGTGAGGGACTGTGTACCCACACTCAGGGCTCCTCCTCACTTTATGCCCCTGCCTTTGCTACAGAGGCAGAGAGGGAGGGATGGAGAGAGAGAGAGAGAGAGAGAGGGAGAGAAAATTGCCTTTTATTGCCTGTATCTATTGGCAAATAGCATACCCCCCCACACCTCCTCCTCCCAGCAGTCTAACAACGCTACACCTCCTCTGGGCTGCCTGCTCAGTCCCCCGGCCAACAAACTACGCACATGTACCGTTCTCATGTGGTGGGAAAGGTGACTGCCCCGTTGCACCGCACACCCACCGAAGCCCATTGTTAACTCCTCCATCAGGTCACCTCTGACTCCCTGCAAGCACAGAGGCACACACAAACACACGGGAACAAGCTGGCAACAGAAACACATGCAATCACGCCCACATTTTCACCTCTCTCTCTCTCCTTTTGTCCCTTTCTGCCTTGCACAAATAAACTGAGGCACAAACGCTGAAATATGCAGTTTCACAGCTTAACTTTTTCTTGATTTCAGCACTGTCCTGTTCACAGAGAAGATGAGAATCATTTATTTCACACATGATTGATTCACTTTTACTTCCCTTTCTCCTGAATCATGAAAACACAAAATGTGTATTCAGTTCAAGGTCCAAACCTTCTGGCAGCTCCTGCCCAAGAGTCTGAAAATGTTTTCTGTATCAACACAGCTTCTCCTTTACAGTGCCAGGCCACCCTGTGATGATCTAAGGTTCTGGACTGATTTGCTCTCAAAAGGAGAACCATTTAAGGCCAGAGGTGAATGAAACCAGAGCTGATGGTCTCATTGGAGGTCACCTGCGGGGCTGCGAGGTCACAGGGTTAATGGTGGGTGTGATGACCACCACCTGGATGGCTGGAAGTCCTGAACGTCAAGACATTTTACTGACCCATTCATCAGGGCTGCTGCGGTTTTAAAGCCTTGACATGCCAAGAAGAAATACTTTTGTTTAACTTGGGAGGTCTGTGTGTGTTTTTGTGAATGAGGTGCGATGTAAAGCAAGGGAAGAATGAGTTTAACAGACTGTGAAGAAAGGAGTGACTGGTGACAGCTTTACCAAACCCTTAGTACAGTTTAGGAGTCACTGGGTACAGATTGGAAATGATGACGGGCACAAATCAGGACTCTGAATAATGTTTCCTCTGCTGCCAAGGACCCCCATTTGGCAAGATGTTGAACAGCACAGTTTGCAACGAGTCCAGACCATGATGTAGTCTACACTGTCAGGATATTTCAGCTACGCAGTCGGTTTATGCCACACAAACGTGCACAGACCCCGGGACGCAACATTACACCTCACATGCGCTTCCCAGCAGTCCGTGGCCAACGTCCAGAGCTGCCGTGCCCGCCTCACAACGAGACTTGTAGACGCCAAGCCACAGAGTGAGAGGCAGACACAGACTTACACACAGACAGCTGGAAATATCCGCTGTAATATTATTATAGCCGCTTATTATGGAGTGAAGTGCGCGGAGAGGAAACGCGCGGAGGATTTAAAAGGAGTTCGTCGGTACTTACCTAAAAGACACAGAGAAGTGCGCTTTGACAGCGGTCCAAACTTTTCGGTGAAGTCTGTATTAGACGAATAAAGCTGTGTTTTACCCTGAACAAACAACACGTCCACTGAGTAATCCAAACGGTGCTGTGGAGCTGCTGTTGCGCGCAGTGAACGACCTCTGTCAAAACTCAAAAAAACAAATTTATCCGAAACTGCCGAACGCACCGGCTGATATTAGACCAGCAGCCTGACTTTCAGCTACCACTCATGGGGTGGACACTTTCACAACTTGTTGACAAAGAGGGGAAATGTATTTTTAAAAGAGCGATAGACCGTCCAGGGTCCCTGCGCTTCGGTCCTTCTCTGATTCTTCTGAGCCGCTCCAACCTCAGTCCGGGCTCCGCAGCCGGGCCAGCAAGCGCCACCAGGTGCTCATTTACATAACTGCACCGGCTGTGTCCAATCACAGCTCCGAGCAAGGTGTCTGATTGAATATGCCAGCAGGCACACCATCCAACCGGAGCTCCCTGTGGGCGGGAGCTGTGACCTTAACAACACTGTAGAATGAAATTCAATGTGGAGCCTTTGGGGGCAATGGGAGTTTCTTTGTTACAGCAACGCTGAGATTTTGGGAATATGACATATGATACAGCCGCACGCAGAGTGCTTTCACCTTGTTAACCCTTTGCATGTAAGAAAATGTTGCTCTGCTGTTTTAAAGCAGATTATTTGATAATATAAACTTGTGAAGTCTCAGCATCTAAGTCTCAGCATCTGGCCTGGGCCATTTAATGTAGACTCACTAGGCTCTGCCTTGGTATTTACCTCTAAAGGAAACTTTATTACAGAGTATTGGTGGTGTAACTGTATACCATTACTGGCCCTGGGCTATAATGACTCAGATTGAAGGGTTTCAGTAAAACACAGCAATGCTGGAACCTGGAGAGTTGTTGATATGGGACCCCGAGGCAAGGCAGGAGTGAAATGGGAATTCATGTTTTAAAAGAGCCACATGTGTGTTTGTGCTGAATTACATCAAAAGTTGAACTAGTCACACACAGAAAGAGTTTGCACCGGTTACAGATTGTGTTGGTACTTGCCCGACTGACTGAGAGGAGGGAAACTTTAGCTGGTGCTCAATCAGCAGCGAGGGACAATAAAGGTCATTTAACTCACTCTGAGCTCCACCTTGGATAAACAGGGAAGAGAAACACTGATACACTCTCTGCCCAATGTTTTCTTTTGTGTGTGTGTTTCATCTTGTATAAGCTCATATTTGTCAAAAAGTCAAATGTTTTTTACTGAAATAAAAATTCTATTCTTAAGGTTAGGGTTTTTAATTTTAGTTTAATGTATGTTTAAAGTATGTAATGTATGTTTTGTATTTTGTATGTTACTGGATACTTGAATAATCTATTAAAGTGAAATACAAAAACACTGGCATGTATATGCACACAAAGACAAAAAAATCTATTTCTCAATTGATTTTTATGAATTTCTACTCTTAATCTTGAATCCCCTCCACTTCCCCGTCCTTACTCCTTCGCCCTCCCTCCCTCCCTCTCTCGAATGAGTGCCATTGCAAAGTTTCTTTGTGTTTAGAAATACTTGAGCTGGACTTGTGTCTGGCCTGCCCTCATTCTCTCTGCATATCATTAACAGTCTCTCACCACTTTTCAATTCAGAGCTAAACCAAACCAAACCACTCCTCTCTCTCTCTCACTCTCTCTCTCTGTTTAATAAGCTTCCCTCCTCCACTTCTGTACATAAAAAAAATCTTGTGAGCACAGTGGGTTTTTTTATGTTTTCTTCTCTGTTTAGCCACGATAGGATCATGATTTATTCATGTTTTCTGGTTCACTTGAGTCGGTTTCATACAGGTGTTGGTTTTCTCTCTAAACTTTGTTTTCCAATAACGCTAAACAAATTTAAAAAATAAAGTTAGACAATTGATGATGAAGAAACTGTGGATATTTGAGAGTTATTATCCATGACGTTCACTGACAAAATGTTAGCTGATTCTCCTCCTGTGGATGAGCACAGTTCTTGTTCTCTCACTCTCAAAAGTGTTCACTTCTCTATTGAGCCTTTTCTGTTGTGCACATCGTCCAGCTGGCTCTGCTTTGTTCGTTGTCCGGGCAACTGCAAATCCCCTGGCAGAAATAATGACCTTTTTCAGTATTATTTCCTTTCTACCCTGTGCCTCGTTTCCCTGATTCTTTTTGTGTCTCACTTTCTGATCCTTTCTCATATTTTTTTTTTTTCCCTTTTCACAAAAATATGCTCAGTTCCTCCGCAGAGTTTTGGTCTGTTGTCACTCAACCCCCCCTTTTCTCCCTCCTCCCCCTCTACTCATTCTCGCTTTGAGTGAAAATCAGTGGAGCATAAAAAGCAGGTCTGATCCTGTGAGGAATTCACTTGGAGGGAGAGACTAACAGAGAAAGACTAACAGAGAGAGACTAACATAGAGAGACCAACAGAGAGAGATGGGCAGAGAGAGAGAAAGAGAGAGAGAAGTTCAAGTTGTATTGCATTTATAAGTCAGTGAGGACAAGAAAGCACTTAGGTAAAGGCAGATAAAGAGAAAGAAAAAGAATGGTTTGTCTCGAACATCAATGGTCTGTCAAGAAGAAGAAAGAGGGTTTTCTATAGAAAGAAAATTGTGTTAAAAGTAAAAGTGTTTACTTTAAAAAAAAAAGGTTATCACATTCAGCAGAAATTTCATCTAAAGTTTTTATTTAGGACGGATGGTGGATGATTTATTGCCTTGTCATTTTAAATATAAAGCTTGAATTTATCACGTCTCTGACATCACTTTAGTAAAAAAAAAAAACGTCTGAATCTGGAAGTGTTCAACTCAAAGGCATGAGACAACACACACACACACACAGGCACAGGCAGCCTGTCCACCCCCTGCCCTGGTCTGACAGCTGTGCAGGGCTGCAGGATTCAGACAACACAGATCAGTTGCAGAATGCGAAGCTTGCAGTATGTTGGGAACCGGCGTAAAACCACATGCCAAGCATACTACCCTCTGAAACATCTCCACCACTGTCTTTTTCACTGGGAATATCCCAAACCAATAAATGTCTCAGATTTGTGATGGTCAGTGAAACCCCTAGAGAGACCCATAGCTCCACAAAATACCTTGTTTTTTCACATTCATGTGTGACTTGAGGTCCAGGTTTGGTTTAAACATACATCTATGAATGTGTAAGAGTGTGCATACGTGTGTCTCATACAACTCTACATTCACCCCTGTGTTCCCCCCTTATATCTGTTTACTGTGACTTGTCTGTGCTCTGTCAGGATCAGTGTCACAGGCCTGGGGCAGGTTGTATTTGATTGGCCCCTGGAGAGGATCTGGGAGCGGTAGAGGTGTCAGGGGTCACAGGGTCAGCATCTGCCCCAGGGGGAGGTTCCTGGTTGGGGGGGGTTAGGGTGTGCATCACAGCCCTGGAGCTCTCTTTTTAGGTGTTTGCTGAGGAAAACG